TGTTGGGAAATTCTATGTAATTGTATAGATATATAGTTTCAAGAATCTTAATAAAGTACTAGCATAACTGCTTAAGGCTAAAAAAAAAAAAAAAAAAAATATTATAAAAATTTCAATAATAAATCCAAATTTTCAATAATAATATTCTAATTAATTATAATATAATTATCATATAATTTTTATAATAATTTTATAATACTTAATCTTTAAATAAACCTATCATTAATTATAAAAATCTGCTTTACAACTTTGTTTAAAAGTCTAAAAACAGTTAAACTAGTAAAAATATTTTAAATACTAAAATAATTTACGATTAAAGTCATATGATAAGTGATCTACGTGTACTCTACCTTTTAAAACCACTATGATCGACAGTCAATCAAAACAAACTACTGTTGCTTTGACGTGAGACGCGTCAGTAATCCCGTCAAACTTATATGTTGTTACTGCTTCCTCAATGTTCCAAATTTGACATGGAATCGGATTTAGATGAATGCGTTTTATTAACTGCTCTTAAATTAGAAAACTTCTATATTGATGACGACGCAAATGAAGAATTAGAAAACGAAATTCAAAAGCGATCAAAAGCTCAGAAGAAGGCTTTACGTAAAAGAAGAGAAAGTGCAGCAATATTCAACCGACTCAGCGAAGGTTTGAGTGTCTTATTGTTGCGTATTGCCTTTATGATAGTCCGCAAATTAGATTAATTAAAATAATTATCACATATAGATACCTCGGTCAATTTTTTGAATGATAATATTGACTTTTCGCGAACCTTTTTCGATGATGGCTTTGATGATAATCTAACAAATACTTCAACGGAGGCTGTGAAGAATAATACGGACATCGATAAAACGTATGTTATCTGCTCTAATTTACACAGTCGACCCACCATAAATGCACGCACTATGTATACTCTCTCTAAATGCACACTAATCTTCAGTCAAGCATATAGAGCCCAAACTATTTAGGACGAACCAAACCATTGACAATTAGTATCACATAGGTATTTACTAGGGTTTATACTTATTGTCAAAACAATGTGATACTAATTATCACGTAATTTGGGTCGTCCCGAATAGTTTGGGCCACATCCCTAACATAGAGCACTTAATAAATGTCTTCATAAATGCGTATTTTTGAAAAGTTTGCCTACAGTCCCAAGGGGAGGGTTGACTTGCAGTTTTTTTTATATATTTAACGAAATTTATTAACTGAACATTCAGCGTCTATATTGACCAAGAATTGTATGAAGCCCTTCGGTTGCCTCGAAATGCTGCTGATGAAAACATATTGTCGAAAAACAAACCAAACTCATATGGGGCTTGTAACGATGATAAGCCAGTGAACACATCTAATTCCAATGAATATCGGCCACTATATGAAGTCACGAACAGAGGTAAAATAATTTTATAGTAAATCTTTTTTTAAATCAATTTTGGGATATGATTTTGATTTTATTTACGTTGGTTCTCGAAAAAAAAGTCAATTATGACAAAAGCAACGTATTAAGTAACCGATCAATTCAAGATGAAACATCATGTGTAAATGCAGTAACCGAGCAATTACATATCAAAGAGAACGCAATGAATTCTCTTGCTCATTTCAAGGAAATCGCTTCCAAATTTAACGTACCTTCACAATTGGAAATGAATACGTCGTGCTCTACCCCAAAGGCTGATGCAAAAAACTTATCAATACATTCGTCGTATGATGCTATACGATCAGTTAATCATAACCTATACTCCCCTATTGGAGTGCATAGGGATTATCCTTTGAAAGACCACGGAGGTACACCAAATTTGTTCGTTTCCAATTATCAATCAAATTCGTCATGTAGGCTTTTAAATTTTTTTAATCTTTGTTTAGTCATTTAGTATTCGTTTTAATGACCGATAACACTTTGTTTAGTGACTTCAAAGGCGGAACATAAGAAAACGCGTACATCAAATTTAAGACCACCAACTTTCTTTTCGCGCTTAAAACCACCCGTTCAAAGACGCTTAACTCCTATGGAAACGGCTTTCTACGCGACGAATAATTACTCTGAAGATAATAAGCATTTATCTAACTTATCTAATTCAAAACTTTTACGCACTCCTTCTGTTAGACCAAAAAAATGACCAATTGGTACAGATGAGACATGACGACAATATTAATATCATTTATTAAATTGCTTACAAGGTCGCAAATTGTCCTTAGCTTACTAAGAAATTTGATAGAACTGATTTAGCAATATTTGTAGTAACACATGTGATGTAGATGCCATATAACTTATGTTTTCAATACAATGCAAATCAATGTTGTTAAAATAGATATTTTTGCAGAAAATTTTTTTATGTATTATTTATATTGATCAATGAGAAAAAGGGAAAGATTGTCGGAATTCCATAATTCATCACAGTTTACTTGGGATGGTATCAAAATATCGGATTCCGGCCTCTAGATGAACCACTCGTTACATTAGGAACATAAAAGATATAAGATATCCGGAATTCTGTTTTACTAGACTAAGGATAAACTTACCCCATACGGTCTTCAATATAAGTATTACTTGTAATATTTGGCATGCAAGTAGAAAAATTGAAATAAAAATAAGAATGAACCGGGCCATAGGTGAAGTTCTTCGAACATGTGGTGCCATTTTCCGTTTTGTAAGTACAAAAGTATTAAAAAGCTGTTTTCGTTACATGATTTTCAAAGACGCATTTGTTTAGAATTTTCCGCCGGGTCAAATAAGGGGGTCCGTTAAAACCAGGTACATTCATATAATGATCTACATGCTGCATAAATTGTATTCTTGATATCTATATAATCCTAAAACTTAAATGAATCAAAAAAGTAACCCTAACTGATACCTGGCTTAGCGTCCCCTCAAATAAGGAAATGATGATCCTGATAATCTTACCAGATCGCTGTAAAAAAAGTTACAGTCACGTGATAATATTTGTGACGCACCAAAAATCTTTAAGTTCGTTAAGAGTAGGAGCAAGTATTTTAAAATTATATATAAACCTAATAGTAAATATTTTTGGGGCTAGTATTCGTACCCCTCACATTTGGTGTTTGTACTTTCTAGCAAAAAATTAAAATTTTGAAAGTTCAAGTAAAGATATCTCAATAATTACCTAATTAAATTTAATGAATTTTTTTTTATTTAAGAATTTTCATCAATATTGATTAAATAGTTATCAAAATATCTTTACTCAAAGTCAAAATATTTATCAAAATAGTTATATTAAATTTTTTTAAAACTTTTAGTAAAGAAATCTTAATAGTTACCTAATCAAATTTGATAAACTTTTTTTTATTTGAATTTTATAAATATATAGAATTCATATAAAAAAATTTTATTGAAATTAATTAATTATTGAGATGTCTTTAGTCAAAGTTAAAAAAAAAATCAAAACATCTATCAAAATAAAAACTATATCAAAATTTTATTAAAACTTTGAATGAAGATATCTTAACAACTACTTGATCAAATTCAATAAATTTTTTTTATTTGAATTCTATGAATCTATAGAATTTAAATAAAAAAAATTCATCAAAATTGATCAGATGGTTGTTAAGATATCTTTATTCAAATCTTTTTTAAAAAACTATAATGTCAATCAAAATAAAAGTTGTGTCAAAATTTTGTTAAAACTTTGAATAAAGATATCTCAATAACCAACTGATCAAATTTGATAAATTTTTTTTATCTGAATTCTATAAATCTATAGAATTCAAATAAAAAAGAATTTATTAAAATTGATTAGATAGTTTATTGAGATATTATTATTTAAACATTTTTTAAAAAACCAAAATATTTATTAAATAAAAATTGTATTAAAATTTTGTTAAAACTTTGAATAAAGATATTTCAATAACTATCTAATCAATTTTAATAAATTTTTTTATTTAAATTCTATAAATTCATAGAATTTAAATAAAAAATATTTATTGAATTTGATTAGATAGTTATTGAGATATCTTCATTCAAAGTTTTACTAAAATTTTGACATAGTTTTTATTTTAATAAATATTTTGGTTTTTTTTTTTTTTTTTTTTTAAGAGAGGTCTTTCCTCTAGTCCTTTATTTCAGTAATATATAATTAAGTACAACTA